CTAGCTCGACAGCCCGCTGATGCAATTTCCTAATGAACATTTTCAGTACCGGAACCATCCGTAGTTGCTGCAATTTAAAGGTGCAGGCTGCTTTGGGCAAGAAACCTTGAGAGGATATTAGATTGTAGAGCAGCAAAAGTGATCTACAGACAGAAGCCTAGGGGTTAACGGCTCATCCGTCGACCAAGACTGATATGGATTGAGTTGTAAAGGACTAAAATCACCTGGAAGTGTAAAGTCATGGATCAGCTTAAAAGGGAGGATGTTGTAGAGCAGACCAGGCCCCTATGATGGGCTGTAGCACCTATGATGATGATGTCTGAATGGAAGGATGTGGTGAAACAGGCCAGGGCCCTACTAATGATCAGCATTAACAAATTGATCTGTTTATCTATCTCTATTTCTCCCATTTAGCGGCATACTTATTATTATAATTATTTAATTTGAATTTTTGGATGATGTTTAAGAATGATCAACACATAATTAAGTCTAGACATGGCTATAAATCAAAAATCAGCATGTACTGTAGATCCCTATTCAAAGGCCTATTTACACAAAAAATATTTCAATGGTATAAGTGGGCCTTTGAGTCGGTCACAGGAGGTTTTCACCAGGTACATTGATTCTATTATAGAAAACAATAAGATTGTGTCTGTGTGTGAGCATATGACTGATTCTGTTCAGTGTGGTTACGGTATATATATGTAGAAAAGTGAAGTGAGTCGCTGTTATAGATAATACTGAATGTTTAATAGTTTTAAGTCTTTTTAATAAGCAATTATTTTTAAGGTTTCGATGAAAACCTTTAAAATAATTTCCCAGCCAAAACTGAAAGAGTACACTAATAAGCAGATTACACACTTTTCAGGGTTTTCCTGGCCAAAACTAAGATTGTGGTTGGCTTATGATCCATTGGGAATAAATTTCCAAGATCCCAATAATGGCAAGTTACCTCAAGATTATTACCCAGTGTGATAAATCAAGCATCAAGTTAAAATGTAAAAAAATAAAACCAAAAATTTTTTTTTTTAAATTAGTGGCATGGGTAATGAAAAATAAATAGAATAAAAAGGACTGGATTTACCTGAAGTAAAATGTTGACCAGTCATTGTCCTGGCATGTCATGATTCCTCCTGCACATTCATCATAAGAGCAGCTGTGAATTCTGGCAGTGATGGGGGTCTTCAAGTGATCTCTGTGAAAACAACAACTTTAACCTGGAAGTAAAATAATACATTAATTAGTAGAAGACAGAAACTTTATTATATTAGAGCGCAAGCTTGCATTAATATGAAGACAATATCCTATGAACAATTTTAACCTGAAAGTTACCATCATAAAAAGTACCAAAAAAATTAATCACACACTTGGTGTAATCATTGCTTTTACACCAGCCATGTTTACATGGGTGTTTCGACAAAAAATTCCTGGTTCTCTAAGGGAAAGTTGAATAGCTTTGTTTATTTAATCTATTAAATAGTTAAAGTCCAACCACTATTGGAATTAGGGAGGTGGTGTTAAATGAACAAAAGAAAACCTTCAAAATGGTCACGTCAAGCTCAGTGCAAGATTTTAACTACAACTGCATTACAGTAGTGAATCTTTAAAAATTTAAATAAGATTTTTTGTCACAGATCAATAGTAATATAATTCTAACCTGCAAGATGTAACTCTTGATTATTACTACTATGATTTTAACAAAAAAATGTATGCTATAGCGACAGATGAATCTAAATATAAGAAGCAATCAATCTAAATAGCTTTTTTGCATTTTTTAATTATTTCTTTTACAGCAAAAATGCACTCAATATGTCAGAAGGAAATGTTAGATTTTTTAGGGATTTTTATATAATTTTAACTAAATTAGGAATGTGCAAGACTTTCCCTTACCTAATCAGTGAAACTAACCATACTAATACAGTCTTTTGATATTTTTTACATGCACTTGTGGGATTTATCTTTATATAAAGTGCATTCAAGGGATCAAGATACTAATATTTATTATTGGAAGGGTGATTAGGATGATGCTAGGTGTTAAGAGAAAATGTAAAGATATGTGTTTATTATGGCATGTAATTGACTAGGACAGAGGCTCCCAGAATCTGTCCTGCTGCAACCTGAAGTGTTAAAAAATTAATGGACTTAATGCAAGCCATTTATAATTAAGTTGGTATTTTTCACTATTTCTCCAACCTACTTGGTACTCTGTATTTATTAAAGTAGCAGTTGGTTTTGTGCAGCGTCTATGCTGTATCAATTAAATATTGTTTTGATAAAGTCAAGTGAAGTTAATGAGGTATGTCTTCTTGTATAAGTATATGGTTTCAAAAATGGATTAGATTGTTTAAAAAGTGCTATTTTACAGTGCACAAAGAATGTGGCTTAGAGCAAAAATGAAAAGACGTGGGTGCAGCAACGGTGCTGCGGTGCTGTGACTCCAAAACACTTGGGAAACTCTGGACTAGGATATTTGAAATTCATGTACTAGCACCATTGCTGGTAGGAGAGCTGGTCAGCGGAAAGCTTTTTCGTTAACCCTCTTGGGACGTAACCCTCTTGATCTCTCGCTGACTAGCAGTGAATCTGACACTGACGAAAACAATCAGGAAAGTAATGAAGACAATCCAAATGATGTTTACGATAATGTTGTGAATCCTTGGATTAGGATTAGTGGTTCTGAATTGGATAGAGATGATCCCTATGAATTTTTAGAAAAAAATAGAGCCTTTAAATATGCCTCATGGGATAAGCACCCCATTTGAGTACTTATGCTAATTTTTACACAATATATCATTAAAATGTTTGTGAGAGAGAATAATAATATAGAGAATAATAATAATAACTAATAAGTATGCAGACAACTTTCTCAGTAACACCCAGCTCAAATAAACCATATTTGGATGCACAATGGTGAAAAGGACCGCTCTGTCTAAAGCAACCGAAAAGTACCCCGAGGGCAGGAAAAGGAGTAGAACTCTGTGCCAGGGGTGTCTCAAGGGCCTCCATGGGCCTTATTTCCCAAAACACATGTGTTAGGATCCATTCATGCTTCATCCATCAAAAAATTCACATAATTTAATAATTTACACCGGTAAGTCATGTTTATTCTCAGTCGAAATCGAGGAGTCAGTTTACATGCAGGAAAAATCATGTTTGGCGAGTTTTGCCACAACAATGGGTCTTTGGGGGCATTTGTCACTTGTCAGGCGATTAGTGAACTTTCATGTTTTGTGTACAAGATAGATCAGCAGCTACACATTACACTTATGCCGATAATCACAGCACACATCCTGCTGGGTACAACAGGCATGTCAGATCAAAGAAGTGCATATAATGCAATTGGCACCACTCCGGGATTGACTCATCAAACGGTCATTCATTCTGTTAAGTTTTTGTATCCTAACTCAGGTGCCAATAGCCAATAGCCAATACCCAAAGCATTGAACGTTTGTGGAAATCTGCAAAAGAGAGAAACAAGCGCCACAATGGCACACACAGACATATGCTCGATTTGTATATGTGTATTCATGTGGACATGTGGCATCAACGTGTTAAAGTAAATGGTTTTTATGATTTTTATGTCTTCAACGCAATTCTAGACGATATTGTTCAATTTCGGCCACTACAGTAGCGGAGGACCTTTAAAGAAGTTAGTATGTTTTTATTTAAAATAACATTTGTTTTATTGGAAGTGTGAAATAATGTATAATAATTTTTGAATTAAAAGTTTTTTAGGCTAATTTAGATTGATTAGGTTTAGGGATACATTTTAGGGTTATGTTAGGTTTAGGGATACATTTAGAGTTTAGGTTAGTTTAGGGATACATATCATTTAGGACATAAGTTCGTGGGTCAAGATAACCAAGATGGCGGCCGCGGGTTGATCTCTCCGAATTGTTTTTGGCCATTTTTTTTTTATTCAAAAGAACATTTGTTTTATGGGTGGGAAAAGTGAATAATAATAATTTTTGCGGTGAATTAAAATTGAAGTACCCACTTCTGATACCGGGTCCGAATAGCCGCAGCCAAACTTTTCATTACAATTACAATCTGTAAGATAAGACAGTAGCCGATTTGCCGCCAAAAAAAAATAAAAAGCAACTTTGATCTTGAATCGTGATTGATGTCATGTTAATGATTATTGAACTATATTTAAAATAGAATTTAAAAATACAATACAATTATAAACATAGACTAAACGTATTCTTACTTGCTTTTAGATGTACGCACATTGTTCTTGGTGTTTCTTCAACGCCAAATGAAATTCTTCAAAATATGCACATTTCTCGATTGATAGTAATGGCTCTAAGATGTTGCAAACCAACAGGAAGTATTCGTCATAACTATCACGTGACCAACCGAATATCTAAAGCCCTCACGTGACCCGCTGGATCCGAAAAGCCAATTGCTGCTTTAGGTACCCGGGTACCTATAGCCACTCCGTTTTTAAATAAAGAAATAAGTGAACTTAGCGGGTTTTGATTTTTAAAAACTAGTAAAATATTGTGAAATAGCACTTCATAGATGAGCCAAGGGGACTAACTCATTTTTAGACAATTTAGAAAACAATATGTCAAAGAAAATGTTTTAAATAATAGGTTTAAGTTCTTTGTGGCGATTTGCAATATTTTCTCCAAGAGTTAATATGGTCTTGGCTGAATGATTTTTTGTATAAATAGGACCAGAAAAAATTTAATTAAATGCGAATTTTTTTATTTTTTTTTTAGTGTTATAAAATAGCACTTAAATTTAAGACCGAGACGATGCTAAGTTCGGAGAATCCAATTTAAAAGAATCTGGCATGGGTTCTTAACAAATTAAATAAAAATTTATTATTTGAATTTTCCTTTTTTGCCTAGACAACCATTTATAGTTTAAACTAATTCAATAATTATGCTTAGGGTTATTAATAACCGCTTGAATTCATTTGTTTTTGAACTATTATGTTTCTTCTTCTTATTTTTTTTTTAACTGTTTGATCTCGGTAAATACTATAAACTATTCATGATAACTTCAGAGACGATGGAGTAATGAGTAATGTTAAAAGTTAAAGATTAATTAATATCTTACTAGACCAACACACAGAATAAATTCAGTTTGAAGCATAATATTTATTATTTAAGATGGCAAGAAATGAAGAAAAGCAATTAGCAAGATTAAATCGATTTTACTTGCATCAGCAAAAAGAAGGTGATCGTCTGAGTAGTCTGTATTAATTATATAAATAAATTATATAATAATAATAAATAGTATTGTATAACTTATACAATACTATTAGTATAAGTCATAAGAATAAGGACTCAATAAGGATAAATGCAGACAGTTGTGAGTTGGTGCCATGTCGTTTGATCACACTGCTGCCTTCTTGGTTGCCACTTTTTTTTTTTTGCTGGCATCCGTCCGTCACAATGTGACGATGGAGTGGGCTTCGTAGGACGAAATCCACATAGCCTGGGATTATTATACTTGAAGGATTATAAGCTGGTCCCCAACAGCAAATCGCCTCTCTCCACGCCGCTGGGTAACCCAAGGGAACATCATTGGATGATACAGCTTGGCACCAGTGACGTCGCAGGAGTTGTCGGAATGTTTTCATTGTATCAATGTTATCCGCCTTTCGGGACTCCATCTCCGGGTTATGATTTCAGAGTTTCCTTCTCTTAGAGTCCCATCTACCCGGGGTGCTGGTGGTGTTTTTGCTCTAGCTGGAATTGAACTCCAGACCACCAACTTGAGATTTGCTCAGTTTAGACCACTCGGCCACCCAGCACCCACTACCAGTGAACTTTTATAATTCACTGTCACTAACTAAACCTAACCTGAATGTGAATGCTAAAATGCCTAAATGTATCCCTAAAACTAAATGTATTCTTTAACCTAACCTGAACCATAAATTCTAAATGAATATGAATATATCCCTAATGCCTAATGAAGCTAATGGCACCAATTCTCTGCTTTAGCCTGTACAGTATAGTAGTCTAGTACCTGCTGTTGTTCAAATCCCGCGCATTAATACATTAGTCAAAATAATAATATGAAAATGCCTAATTATACAAGCCCAATATCTACTTAAGTTATGCTGACAATTTGAAGGCTTTAACTTTACAGGGAAAATAGTTATGGCATTTTGAGTATTGAGAAAGGGCGCTACATTTTAAATGAAATTTACTTACTCTCTGTTGTTCAAATCCTGCGCATTAATACATTAGTCTAAATATTAATAAGAAAATGGCTTATTATAAAATCCCAATACCTACTTAAATTATGCTGACAAATTGAAGGCTTTAACTTTACAGGGAAAATAGTTATGGCATTTTGAGTATTGAGAACAGGCGCTATGTTTTTAAAGAAATTTACTTAACCTCTGTTTGTCAAATCCAGCGGATTAATACTTATATGGAAATGGCTTGTTATAAAAGCCCAATACCTAATTAAACTGTGCTGAAAATATGAAGACTTTAACTTTACAGATAAAAAAGTTATGGCATTTTGAGTATTGAGAGCAGGCGCTACGTTTTTAATGAAATTTATGTACCCTCTGTTCGTCAAATCGCACACATTAATATGTTTATTGTAGGGGTGTGCCGGAATCCGGTTCCGCCGGATTTTGCACTATCCGGTGAAATCTGGTTCCGCCGGATTTACATGTATCCGGAACAACCGGATTCCGGAATATACCGGATTTCGGAATTTGCCAGATTTTGTGACTCACCGGATCATAATCTGAAATAAAAGTAATTCTCTTTCCCGAATTCCACACGATCACGATACATTAATCGATTGTTTCGAGCGTTGAGCTTGTTTAATGTTTAATATTCCGTACATACCAGAGGCTAGAGTCAGCACCGCTAATAGTGGCCAATAGTGTAGGGACTTTGATAAGAAAATTTAAACTTTTTGTAAAAATAAACCAATGGCATAGTTGAAAAGATGTAATTTTTTAAAGAATTATAACACCAAAATCATATTTTTAGCTGTTGTAGTTTTAAAGTTATGAATTTTTAAAGTACGACTTGGTTTGTCATTTTTTAACATGGACTGCATCTCCACATTCTGTGATCTCATTCCACCAATCCCGTCATGCGCAATGACTATATAGTTTATATAAGGCAACGCATTCCCTGCCTTATCACTAAAATACTGTTTAGACTTAGTTTAAACTTTCAACTTTGGCACATGAATAATTAATTAAAGCTTTCCCTGACCAATGGTTTAATAGTTTTTGCACACGGCAAACTCTTATGAATGAAACTCTGAGGTAGTACTACGATACAGTTATGCAAGTGGCTGTGAATGGTTGCCAATGACAACGTGTTGCACACGGTAAATTCTGATCATTTATAATATGGATTCTACCGGGTTGTTAAAGCTCAAATTAAAACATTCCAGTTTAAATGTCTTTAAATGCATTCTGAAACACAAGTTATCAATTATTTTGATGTAAATAGTGATAATATATTAATATTTCCTAAGTATCGTCAACTTCCGCCATTAAAAAGGGGGGCGTGGCCAACCCCATGGCGAAATTAGGTTGAGCGAGCTGCATGACCTGCTGCGAACGCGTAGAAACATGGCGTCTCTCGTAAGACACTTATCCAAATGGAACGGAACTCAAATATATATCGAAAGTACTAATTTAATAATAAATAGACACACACATCGGAAAATTAAAAACTCGGATTTTTTGGCGCCGATTGCGAATTCCCATACACAAAAAGTAGTAGTCCACCTTGACTTACCGAAGTATCTACCAATAGTACCAAAATCCGGATTATTCCGGAATCAGGATTATTCCGGAATCCGAATCCGGATCCGGCGGATTTCGCATAAGAAAATCCGGATCCGGTTGGAAAAAACGGATCCGGCACACCCCTAGTTTATTGTAGTATTTGCATAACAATGATGTATTATTAAAGCCAAAAACTTAATTGAAATGCGTTGCAAATTTCAAAGCTTTAACTTTGCTGAATAAAAAGTTGTCGCATTTTGAGTGTCAAAGATGTCTTTTTTCGGTCACAAAATTTTTGAAAATATTTACTAAGGCTATATAAGGAAAAATTCTGACACTAAAAATGCGATAACTTTTGTTCTACTTAAGATAGAAAGATAAAATAGGTATCAATGGAAAGGAAATACTGAGTCCTTTCTAATGATATAAGTTTCATTAATATATAACAACTTTGAAATTTTTAGTGTAGTACCTAATACTATACTATACAGTATATTTTTATATACAGGCCTATTAATTGATAATTTGTTAGTATTAGTAGTTAGTACTTTGTAGCATGGTATTCGCTGGAATTCTCACTGATGCTTTTCTTGACAATAATGACGGCATTCCCATAATAAGATACACAGCTATTTGAGCTATTGAGCTATAGATGGAAGGCTATTTAATTTTAGGACTTAGGAGACTGAAAGCCATATGACTATGACGGTTAAAGTAAAGAAAGGGTATATTCGCTGACACTTCACCCTAAATACAAGCTCGCCTCTGAAAATGCAGCAAATACTTTATCGCTTTGCTAAGGCCTGCAACAACTACAGCCTTCTTCTCAATACAAAAAAAACAACAGATCATGCACCAGCCAGCTTCAGGAAAAGCTTACTGTGGCTTACAAAAAACCTAGTATATCAGTGAAGGGATAGAATCTCCAAGCAGTGGAAAAATTCACGCATTGGGGCAACACCCTCTTCTTGTCAGCAACAATATATTATGAGATCAATAACTAAATTTCCAAGGCAAATTTTGCATTCAGAAGACTCCTCAAGAGTGTCTGAGACCCAAGGGGTCTCAGTCTTGTAACTAAGCTGAAAGACTATATAGGGTAGTCATATTAATATCTCTCTTGTCTGCTAGGGAGACTTGGACAGTGTACAGCAGACATGCTAGACAAAACTAAACCATCTCTACCTACATTGTCTAAATAAACTTCTTGGCATAAGGTGGCAGGACAAATTTCCTGATACAGAAGTCTTAAAAGAAGCTTACTTATGGTGACCAGATTTTTCTGTTGGGGGCACACCCCGGCACCGACCCAAGCCAAAAAACAATTGGTGAAAATTAACTGAAAGACATGTTTTCCTGAAGGGCAAATAAGAAATTCATTATTATACATTATATTGCATAATGTATGTTAGACACCTACCGAAACCTTATGTTGTGTTAATCAGTAATTGCGGGTGAAATTTTTGTGAACAATCAAGTAGAAAAGTACCAGATAAATGTCACTTTTTCAAAGTTCATAAAAAATAAAAACTGCTTGTAAATAACTAACTACTAACAATAACAATTGACATGTTGTTAAAAAAATAACAATTGACATGTTAAAAAAAAGAAAAGAATAAATTGATCACAACCGACATATGTCAGAAATATGAAGGATCAACAAGTCAATTGTAATTATTAATTTCATAATCATGACACACTTATATTTCTGAGATGTGTAGATAGCTCTTAGGACACCAGGATTTTTTAATAACATATCATTAAACTTGTCACATGAATCACTGAAATTGTATTTGACAACCAGGATATGTATCAATGTTGTATCAATGTATCGACTTTGAGTTGCTATTTATCTGGTGTCCACATGTTGTTAATCAGAGAAAAGAATCTTTCAGTGGGAGCTCTTGTTCCTGTCTAGGACAAGGTACTCAGTTCGTAGAAAATGACACAGGCCGGGACATTTTCTGATTTTTCGGGATTGATGATATGGGTGGTGCAAAAATAGGGACTGTCCTGGGTAAACTGGGACATTTGGTCACTATAGCTTACTTTATCAGCATCTAAAAGTTCCTACAAAAATACCAGATGGGCGGGGCATGTTGTGAGAATACCATACAGCAGACTTCCTTAACAACTAATGTTCTGTGAACTCTCCAGAGGGAAGCGCTCAGCTGGTGGGCAGAAAAAAACCCTCAAAGGACTCTCTAAAAGCTTTACTCAAATCCATGGACAAATACCTTAATTCGTGGGGAAAATTTGCTGGCGATGTATACTCTCTTTTGGAGCACAAGCCTCAGAGAGTAAACGCTCCACTCATGGGAAAAGCAGTATTGACTCCAATACAACTAGGACCCCAAAATACGTAGGACTTTCCAGCACAAATAGGATTGGCAAGCCACCTGCGCACTCACTGTTAAATAAAGCCTTTGTCATCTTAATGATTATTTTATTCAAATTTTAAGCTTTCTCACTGGTATTGCCAGGTAATTGAGTGGTAACTGTGTACTCCCTTTGTGTTCTCTCACAGTCAGCTCAAATTTTAAAATTTGTCTGACTGACATGCACAAATAATAGCTTGATATAGCTGGATTTAGCCTTCCAAAGATGATCTTTATATAATTAAGTTTATATGTAAAGAGAAAAGTAATACATTTTTAGTGCTTACTCAGGCTTTATTAGGCCCGTGCTTTGTAGGTCTTTAATTCTTGTCGCCTATACTATAAATTGTGAAAGGACAATCAAAATTTATCTCCCCAGAGGAACTTAAAAAAAGACCACCAAGGCCAAGACTAGTAAGTCTAAACCAAAAAGTGAAAACATTAAAATTAATGTGTTCAATTTTTAAAGGAAATTATACATTATTTCAAGTTTTTGTTATTTAAGTGTCGTGAAAACTTGTTGGTGTGATGCTCTTGACATTTAAGGTTAAGGATTCACTCCGCTAAGGCTCACCTAGGAAACACATTTATTTATGAATGGCAAAGCACTGGTAAGGACTTACTTTAACAGTTGCTTCAACTTAAATTATGACTGAATTTAAAAAAAAAAAAAAGTAGGTAATGGTTCACTAGGTATGAAAATGAAATCAATATTTCACCAAGATTCTTTAGAAACCTTAAATTTGAGGGGGAGTGTGCCATGTCACTGAGCTGTTGTATATTCATTATTTTTGTTATATAGGCCTGTGGTTTAATATATATAGTTACTTACATTTTAGGATTCCTTGAACACAGTCAATGAAGTGAAGAAATGGCTCCCATCCATCATGAGAGACATTGAGTTTTATGTTACAGTAAGTTTCATTTTACTTCCCAACTAATTCTTTAACTCAAGCAGCCCCAAATCAGTCATTCAGAGCAACCCATTTTTGCTTTATGAATACCAAGTAATCCCATAACATTTGCCTTAAACCACCAGATATGATTTTGTATTGCTGAAGATAGTTTTATTGTGAGAAATGGGGTAATTTTTAATTTCATTTACTCCATTTTAAGTTGATAGTTTTAAGTTGACATAGGGTTGTGGAATGAGGGCATGTCATCCAAAACAAACTTTTTTAGTTAAGTTTTGTTGATTTTATTTGTACAATCGGGAAATTTTCTTTTTAAAGAACAACTTTTACTTTTTAGCAAATGGAAGTATCTTGTTATCCAAAGCGACAAATTGAAGAGTTTGAGAGGCGCATTGATAATCTACGTGGAGAGTACAAGGCCTTTGTGCGCAAAATACGTCAGCTTGAACCAGAGTCTGAACTGACTCCTTGGTCTGACAAGCCTTATGTTGGGAAGCAGCGTAAGCTTGAATTAAAATCATTTCAAGAAGATTGTGGTGAGTGCCCGTTCTTCTTATGTTAAAGAGTTAAAGTCTATGAACTTAGAGATCTGAATTAAGGAGACATTTTATTAAAATATTCAAAAGTATAAAATAAAACTCTTAGTGAAAATAAACATTGAAATGGCTTTTGAAATGTTATCAGCTTGTCAAATAATTTGTATCACTGCAGCCACTCGTAAATTATCTGCTGTAGTAAATTAAAAATATACAACAAGGGCAAACTAACTGGATGTTATTCTTTGGGTTTGGAAGTATAGTCTTGTGTCAATTGTAACCAAACCTCAGTAACTGCCCATGGTGGATTTTATTGGAATGATAAAACAATAGGTGAAGAGTCAAGAGGATTTCAGCTTAAGCCTCAATAAATGAAATTGCTCTAAAACAATATTGTCAGATGTATCATTGTTCGTGACATGCCACTTTAAATAAAAGAACAAATACTAATAGTCCTCAAAAGTTTTAAAACCAAAATACAGGTGACAAAATAAAAAGATTTGTAGTTATCATCTTTACCATCACTAGTAATTGTCCATTATTTCTTCACTATTTTTCCAGATCCTGTTGAGTCATCAGCTAATGAACCTGCCCCATCTTTTAATTTGAATCAGCAAAACAACCCCATGACCTTTATGCCCATAGCTACACCGGTGCTTATCTCTGATCATGTCTACAAGAGCTGCTATGGCTATGAGGCTAAGAAAAGTCCAGACACCACATCAATAAGTTTAGTCGTTCAGGACAAGCCACTTGACTTTGATTTCTCAAAGAGGGTTTTTCGAGATGGTGAGTTAGAGTTAAAGGAAGCAGAATATTCAAAAGAAAGCAGTTCAGAAGAAAGAATTCATGATGGTGTCACTGACTTGGACAAAAAGCAGCCCCAAGAAAATGGACGTCATAAACTTTCAGATGCAACAGATCCTGGAAGTCTAGTCACCAAGAAACAGCAGAGCTTCACTGGTGTGGAGGTGCGAGGGTCACTGAACATTCCATATGCAGATTCATCTTCTGAAGAAGATGGAGTGACTTGAAAGAGAAAAACTTATCTCACATCAGGTAATCCTAATTGCCAATACAAGTGTGAGGCTATATGGTACTCTACCACTTTTTACATTTATTAATATTATATCAACTTTATTTTTTGTGTGTTTGGTAGGGTCTAACATGCAGGGGTTAAAAGTTAAAGTGTTTTCATTAGTACATTTCACAGTAATTACCCTACATAAATATATGTTGATGGGTCAACTTTGTAATCATTTTGTAATGTTTATCTTCAAAATCATAGGTGATTTTAACATGCAAAATTTTTTTAAAACTTATTACCTTGTTATATTAGATGAATTGACTCAGACAAGACTAGAAATTTTGTTAACATCTGAGCCGGATGTTGCCTCACACTTGATTTATGGTGGTCAGGTTTTATTCTGAGTGGTCAACATTCTCAAAAGCAGATTAACGTACAGTTCAGGATGACATGACAAAAGAAAGTCATAATTGTACTTATGGTCCGATTTTTATCTTAAAAGCTAACATTCTCAAAAGCAGATTAACGCACAGTTTGGGATCTCTTGAGGCCACATCGCCAACCGGCACTTTGACAACACCATGTCTGCCCATGGGCTGTTAATGTGGACTCATTCTGCTGGGTCGGGTTTCTGTTCTGTGGAATATCTGTTGTTATGAATCGGGTGTCTTTCTGTCTTCTGGGGGTTGACAGCCCCATAAAATTGAACAAAGTCACCTGTTATGGCAACAACAGTTTCAGATTACATTTTTTAAAAACGAGAACCCTGATTCAACTTACACAGGGTGTGCCTTTTTAGAGATGTGGTGTTTCAGAACAGTGCAGATGCTGACCAGTAAAAGAAAACTTTGATCTTTGGAAGTGTATTTAAAGGCATTGGTTAGTTATTTAAAAGCTGTTGGCATGCATTGTTTTGAGAATATTTTTGGTTGCCATCAAGCCAAAATAACTTTGATCCTAATTATCGTGCTAAAGTAACTTTGTCTTTATCCAAATAATTGTACTAAAGTATCTTTGTCTTGATCCTAATGATCGTGCTAAAGTAACTTTGTCTTTATCCAAATGATTGTGCTAAAGTATCTTTGTCTTGATCCTAATGATCATGCTAAAGTAACTTTGTCTTGATCCTAATGATTGTAATCACATTTCAAAAGGAAATAAAAGTAATAAACTGAGATTCATTTCTCTTTAATTAAAAATCTAATGCAAATGATTAAAAAAAAATTGTTGCTTTTTTTTGTTTTCATTGTTATGGTGTGATTGCTTAGATTAGAACTGGATTCCTTTATTTTTCCCATTCCATATCAAAAGAAGTTACACCAGTCAAAACACTGTCTGGACCTTTAACCTATTTAACATAATAGCAGGCATCAGCAAAACAAAAGCTTCCTGATATAATTTTTTTTATCTGTATTTACTTTAAAAAGTTAAATATTTTTCTTATGCTTTTATTCATTTTTTTTTTTACGGCTAAGAAAATTCAACAACATAGTTTGGTGTTTCAAAAGTGCTGATTGTTCTCAGATATTTATAGTTTAAAATAAAAAAATAAACTAGAAGTAGGATTGACTTCTTGAACATGCACTTTATTTCATATAGGAACGTAGTTCCATGGTTTACACTGTTCTTGTATCATGGGAGCATCTACAGAGATTATGTACACACACAGGCCTATACCAAGAATGTTACATCGGTGGTCATTTTAATTCTTTTTAACATGTACACAAAGCTCACATAGGCTTATTTAAATTGATTAAATAACCTCTCACAAATGATCTGTTAGCTTCATGAACACTGAGCCTCTCAGGTGAATAGTGTGTATGTACATGGTCTAGGTCCTAAGTTAAGGCACATCAAATTGAGGGTGGAAAATGTGTTTATCACATATGAAAATTAAAAAATTAAAACTTTCTAGTAAGAGGATAAAATTAATGGTGGTTTAAAGATAACTTGTATAAAATTTAACACTACTTTTATAAATGACATTGTCATAACTTTGTAATTTTTACATCCTATACAGTTGATACCTATATAAAAATGTAACAAATAATTCAATTTCCGATGAGGGACTAAAATAATCGGAAATGTTTTAAAATCACAACTTAAATCGTTTGACATAAAATTGAATGATAATTTTTTTCTATCAATGAAATTTTTTAAGTACGGTAAGAATTCAGCCATGCTCTCCCTCCAAAAAAAAAATTGCCTTCAATTGTGCACAGAGTAAATGACCGTTAGTCTCTTACACATACAAAGAGGACACTTCTCTGTCATCATAGTCTCTTACATATACAAAGAGGACACTTCTCTGTCACCACTATGGATATTCATTATATTATGCATTATATTATTATATATTATTATTCATTAGCTAAATCAAAATGATTAATCCAAAGTTAAAGCACTAAATGAAATGGACATCAATGGTTAATCTTAGCGTGACTTAGAGAAAACATTAAAAATAAGGGAAAAGTTGTTATGCAAATAGAACAACATCATTTTGAAATTTATGGAATGATAATACAAAGACTTAGTGGCACTGTAGGGAATTATGGTTGATGTGATATGAAAGAGACTATAAATAAAAACGTAAAGTAAGAATAAACTATTTCTAAGCAAAACAAGTAAGAGTGAGTATTTATTTTAATTATAATTATGGTGATGCAAATAAAACGGTTGTAAGATTTAAGGCAAAGACATTTTTTTTTAATACGAATGATTTTTTAAAAATATTAAATGATTATTAACAATGAAACACTAATGGTTTTATACCTTTTTTCTTTTTATGACCAACAATCTCTAGAGCTTTATATTTGGAGGCCAAAGTAACAATAGTTGCTTAATATTTTTTCTCTTTACTCATATAATAAAATATCTGAACAAGTACTGTTAAGTTTACAAAGCAATCTTATTTTTAAAATTTTATTATAAAATGTTATCGTCATAAAATATAAAAACTATAGCTTTAAAATGATAATGATAGAGTCATAAACTGAGTAGGGTTTACAACTTAAAAATTTGATTCAAACATTAGGTGACTAATAATTATTGCTTTTAATATATTTTACTTTGATGAACAGAAATCATTGAAAATTTTGCAAAACTTATTTTAATATCAGTTTAAAAATAAAAATCATTTCATTCTTTTCTTTTGTCATCATAATTATAATATTTATAAGGCAAATTTATTTATTTAATTAATAATCTAGTACAACTGAATTATGTAATATTCTGTGAAAATTTAAACTAAAAATTTTAAGAGTTTGCAAACTTTAAAATAAGGCCTGATGTGTCTTGTCTTTCAATATTTTATTGGCAAACTAAACAAATAAAAAAATAATGCCCACAGGACATTGTTTTTCTTATGTACAATTAAATTCAAGGCACTTCAAAATGTGTCCTTTTTCTTTAATTCAACTGGAACACACATTTTATTGCTTGGAACTCGTGATTTTATTAGGAACATATTACTATGTCTCATTACATAATCATGAATTAAATCACTATTATTATTCAGGACCCAATATCTCAAATGAGACTTCAGGCTAATGAACTGGGCTTTGTGTTCTCTCAATCAAAATTTCTATAATAAAAGAGACCAATTAAATTTTTTAACAAAGTATCACTATATACCAATTTTTACTTGTTACAATCGGTTCTGTCATAGATATCCACATCCTCAAGATGACTTAAATTTTTTTATTTTGAAAAACAAAAATCATATAATGATTTGCTTCTGCATGTTATCTTATCTCTCATGCTCTGAGATCATCACAATTTTGTTGCAGCTCCACAATTTTCACTCTTGCATTCTACTTGACCCCGCTGAAAATATATTAAGTAATGGGATTTTTAAATAAATAATTAGTTAGTAGTTAGTGATAGAATTTTAAAATTGGTATCAATGTGTTTCCCTAGCATTTTATGAAAATTGTTAGAGGAAGCCATTTTTAAAAATCTTTCTTATAATCTTGATGTATGCAAATACATTTAGTTTATCATACTTGGACAGTTTTAGTCTTACCATGTAGAATATTTGCATATTGCAATTTATGTTGGCTACATGTTTTTTTTCAAAATAAAATAGATAACAAGTTGTTCCTCCGAGTCACCAGTCAAACTATTCATTTTTGTGCCCAAATTTCCAACATTTTTCCTACATGTTTGTTTTTAGCTGAAGATAAGGATAAAAAGCAATAAATAGACCACAACTTCACTAACCTTGCAGAGACATGAAGTGCAGTCATCAGGTCTCCATCTGGCACCATCTAGTTTAACTAAGTTGTTGTTGTCTAAACATGTCTTTCGTTTATTTGATTTTTCTCTTTCTAGTTGTTTAATCTGATAATGAAATAATATTGCTGAAAATTTTTCTTTTTAAACATTTTCATTAAAAAAATGATAAACAAACTAATCTCATTAACCCAAAGTCATAAAAAACTAAGAGTTTACACTGGACTTGCCTTCTTCTTTAGACTTGTTATAACCTGCGCCATTTCCATTAAAGTTTCTTCAATGCCTTCTACTCTGTTATCAAGAAGGTCCATATCCTCTCTTTCACACTGTTTTACTTCATTTGTATTCAATTTTTCATCGTCCTCATCAGCTTCATCATTCACCTCATCGGGCACAGCAGGAGATGAAATCTAGTTAAAATGAAAAAATCAATCCAGAGAACGCTTTTAAGATACAAAAGTAAAGTTTACTTTTTCCATTTTCAACTTATTACTTATGTACCATATTTCAAAATAAATTTGAATGATAAATATTGTCAGCCGTGCGACAAAATGTTCACTTTTATGCCTCAAACAAGAAGAGGGCTTGAATCACTCTGGTTCATCCCCATCTTTTGGTAAATAGCCATGTGTATTGTACTCATTAGCCAAGTAAGTCATATATTTTAGGGGAGGTGATAATTCCTACGTGAAAGACCTGAAACTCAAAAGGCAGAAGAAAGCAGTCAACTGGATTAAATATCACCAAACTATGTAACAAAAAAATAGCTGTTGTCTTACCAGTTAGGTTACAGGCGGAAGAATAAATCCAGGACAATGAAAAAATTAATTGAGTAAAAAAAAAGTGTCTCTTCATAACTTTATTTGACATCACATTGACTAAAATTTGTTTGCACAACAAGGAGAGAAAAAATATGTCTTTATTTTTGTAATGCTTACAACATCATCCTTTGTGGAAATATTCATTGGACGCTCTTCAGCATAGCTGTAATCTGTGGATCGTCTCCCTCTTGAATGGGCAGCAAATGTTGATAATGTTGCTCTGGCTCTGCAATCTACAGAAAAAAATTTTAAAATTACTATAATTTCTAATTTATTTTCCATTTGTTTGGTTTAATTTTAATATTTTCAATAGCCATTCATGAATAAACTAATTACACCCCAACCTCATGCCAAATATAATTTTTTACCTTCACAACAGTCTGTCCAGTGGTTGATATCTAAACGGGGTATTTGATCACAGTGCTCATACTCATCATCATCCTGTACCCGCATGAAAACATCTTTCTGAACTCTAGTGATTCCATCGCTGCTGTCACAAATTACTGTTGATATTGATAACTGCTTAATAGCATGCAGCTGCTCAGGTGTAAAGATACCATCCCGCTCATACCAAAATCTGAAAACAACCAAGTTATAGAATTTGTTTTACCGGCACCAATTTTTCACTCAAAATCTTTCAATTACTCTAACTCAAAAGTTTTAAACTACAAAATGTTTCAAAATGTAAAAATTTACATTGTGTTCAGAGAATGCATTATCATTTACTTTTCAATAATTATATTTAATTAAAAAATATATTTGAATTTTTTTCTTGGCAAGAACGTCTAAGGCAAAAGTTTAAAATACTTAACCATTGAATATGTCAGTTAATTATAAAATGTGCAATATATAAATTTGGTACAAAAGAATTAATTAAAATAAGTGAAGAAAGCAACCATACTTTATAATAAAATGAATTCACAGGCGTAAAAATTATTTTATTTCACTAATTTAGGTGCAGGGTTCAAAATCCTTGAAGCTGACAAAATGTGTATGTCAATTAGCATTAAAAATATTCCCCTCTCACAAATTCTGAAGTCTGATGGAGAAAAAACTATTCATCAAGTTTCAAACTTCTTTCTTGTTTTTTTTTTATTCGTCAGTGTTTTATGTTAAAAAAATAATCCTTTCTATTACAAAAAGAAAATTTGAAATCACTCA